CCCCGCTAGTTCGAACTAGCGGGATAGTGTAGACATACCCTCTGTTGTTCTATAATTTAGTTTGCTTTTTCTATTAATTGCCACACCTCTCCATCACAATGCATGATTCCAAATGTCAATGCCAAACATACTTTGCATTGAGAAAGGACTATAACTCAGCTCTCAGATGATGAAGAGTTTTATTTAGATTTTCCCAGGAATTCCTTGACCCTGTTCAATGATGCTGTTCCTTGTGTGGGACAAGTGAGGTTGTCATTTTCTATCTATTTGTAGTCAAAGATTTCCAGGGCACCATAATCTTGAATTTTAATGAAACAACATAGGAACGGGGTGGGGAAAGCTCCCTGGATAAAATTCCTTTCAGGTTACTACAATGCAAGGGATTATATGTCATTCAAAATGAGACAAGATTCTAACAGTGAATTCCTTCCAGTATGAGAGAGGGAGACACTTTTAAATACTTATATAAGTCCCTAGTACTTTGATGCCATTTGTCCTATGCCCACCCAGAACATTTGGATATCTAAAAGGAATATTTCAAGAAAGGTTCTGGAACAGTCATTAGTTTGCCTTCAAAGACATCTTCTTTTATATATTGCTGCCCACTCTATGAGGCATGCCCCTTTTCTACAGAGATGGGTCATGCAATGGGGAAATATCTGAGCCACACTTGAGGCTGGATAGTGCCTACCACTGTGTGAATACAGCAGGGGCAGGAGTAAGGTGTAAAAAAAACCAAGGAGAGCCAGGATGACTCTGAACCCATATGAGTGGACAGCTGGCAGTGTGTGCTGAGCACCGCACCCTTACAGATTTCCTATGTTAGCTACCTTCCCATGCAGATGATTGTGGGAAATCTTAGACAAGTAGCAGGACGAGGCAGGAGAGAACAAAGAGACTTTCTCCTCAGTTGTAGGAGAGAGACGGAAAACGGCTGATAGGTCTCCTTGAGTGCAAGAAGCATAGTGATCTGCATTTCACAGTAAGCATGACCAATAAAGATGGGATAAGATTAGGGCTCATAGTCCTGCCGCCCCTAGGGGGTTGCGCCTTTCAAACTAAACTTTGCTGCTGAATGTGCTCTTAACTTCTTTTTCCCTTATTCACATTGCATGGGGGAGGCACGAGTCCTGTCACGGGTCGACAGACTTGCATTCACTCAGCTTGCGTTAATGTACTAGAAATAGCAGTATAGATGTTGTGGCACTGCCAGTAGCTCAAGCTAGCTGGCCAATCTAGCACCTTGGCAACTTGACAGGCTTGGACTCGGGCAGTTAGCTTGAGCCACCACCTCCTCTGCCAACATATCTGCATTGCTATTTTTAGTGTGCCAGCACAAATCTGTATGCACATATTGGGAGTCACTCTGCCCATGTGCAATGTAGATAGACTACTGGAGTCTTTTTGCCTTTCTCTCGTCTACTATTTTGTAGTTAAATTTCAAGGTTCTATTCATAAGTACCTAACATAAGAACATAAGAAGGGATGTGCTGGGTCAGACCAAAGGTCCATCTAGCTCAGTAGCCTATCTGCCTACAGTGGCCAGCAGCAGGTGCCCCAGAAGGGGTGGACCGAGACAATGATCAAGCGATATGTCTTGTGCCATCCATCTCCAGCCTCTAACAAACAGAGGCCAGGGACACCATTCCTAGCCTTTTATGATCTGAACCTCCATGGATTTATCTAGCTTCTCTTTAAACTCTGTTATAGTTCTAGTCTTCACAGCCTCCTCTGGCAAGGAGTTCCACAGGTTGACTATGCGCTGTGTAAAGAAGAACTTTTGCTTATTATTTTTAAACCTGCTACCCATTAATTTCATTTGGTGTCCTCTAGTCCTTATATTATGGGAACTAGTGAATAACTTTTCTTTATTCACCTTCTCCACACCACTCATGATTTTATAGACCTCTATCATATGCCCCCTCAGTCTCCTCTTTTCCAAACTGAGAAGTCCCAGTCGTTTTAGCCTCTTCTCATATGGGACCTGTTCCAAACCCCTAATCATTTTAGTTGCCCTTTTCAACTGCATATTCCAGTATGGTAGATCTACTTAATGACACCATTTAGCTCCCATGTATATAGCAATTCCTGGTCAAGAAATATTAAATATGTGTGAGCAGAGAATGAGAACATTGTCTAGGTCTCACAAGAATGGCTTTGGTTATTAATGGTTAGATTTTAACTTTGTACCATGAGTTCTGTGAGAGTCCAACGTTTTCACCGCTGCTTCAGGCTACTTTATGGTGTGTATGTGTATGAATATGGTGTGTTTTGTACCCCCCCCTCTCTCATTCTGAGCACATGGCAACTGCTTATGGTAACCAACTACCCAAACCAAACCAGCCATGTAACAGAGAATTAAAAGATACATCAACAAAGGATTATTCTTTGGATTTCAGTTTAACACAATGTTTGCCATCAATGTTTCTTAGGGTGTGTCTAGACTACAGGGTTTTGTTGACAAAAGTGGACTTTTGTCGACAAAACTATACCTGCGTCTACACTACTGCTGAGTTCTGTCGACATAATGTCGACAGAACTCAGCAGTTTTGTCGATGCTGGTAAACCTCATTTTACGAGGCAGAACGACTTTTGTCGACAGAGTTCTGTCGACAGAAGGTGTTATTGCATCTAGGGTTGTGTCTAGACAACAGGGTTTTGTCGACAAAGCAGCTTGCTTTGTTGACAGAACTGAATGTAGTCTAGACGCTCTTTGTCGACAGAAGTTTTGTCGACAGTATCTGTCGACAAAACTTCTGTCGACAAAAGCCTGTAGTCTAGACGTACCCTTAGTTAGAAGAGACATATTATTCTCTGACAGGGATAAAAAGTGATGTAGTGTGAAATCTTGGCCCCAGTGAAGCTGATAAGAGTGTTGCTTTTGCCTTAATGGGATCAGGATTTCACCTAGGGAGTATATGATGGGAAATTCTCTGCTTCTTCTATAAAACTGCCATAGTAAGCAAAAGAAATATAGTATTCCTATATTACTGTTCTCAATCCCTTGCCCATCATAGTCTTATACAGCCATTCCCCGACTTACAAATGAGTTACGTACCAAACACTGGGTCGTAACTCGATCTGTTTGTAAGTCGGATTACATACACTTACGTACGGCTGCACTGTTCGTAAGTACAGATTTCATTTGTAACTCAGGTTCCGGCTGTATAGGAGGTTGGTTGTAAATACGAATAGTCATAAGTTGAGGCGTTTGTAACTCGGGAACTGGCTGTATTATCACTGTTATAGCCATTCATAGTTTTTGTGAATAACAGGACACCTTTCAATTCGAATGTCTTCCCAATGGGAAGACATTTTTAGACTGTATACCTACAGCATCCCTAATGCTAACACAAGTAGCTTCTTGAGAATGGAAAAGGTTTCATTCTAAAAGCAAAGAAAAATAGAGACTGATAAAATGGTCAAACAGGGCTTGATCACAATTTATTTCTGACCTTTTAATGCCTTCAGTTCTCAATGATTTTCTGTCATTTCTGTCTAGCCCGGACTTGAGACCGAGTCCCAACGGTGCTTAGCTTTTTGTTGCCACTTAACTTTCAACTTCCATTTTCGGAATTGAAAGATAAGTAACTAATTGCCACTGAGATATCCAAGGGTTTATCATTCATCCAAATCTAAGAAGTTGGCCTAAGCCATGAACTTGAAAACTTTTCTGTACTCAGTCTGCATAAAATATAGCTTTATGTTATAACTGTGTTATGGCCTACTGATGTTATTGTCATTATCTATAGCCATCATGATTATGTGCCTGCTGTTCTGGTAGCCAGAAATGAGATTCAGTTCAAATTTACCCAGATATTTCTTTACATGAAACATCCTCCATTTTTCTCAAGTTCACTAAATCAAAATTTCTGCATTACTACCATTTTGTAAGTCTGATTAGGTATAATTAACCTATAAAGTTGCTTATTTTATTTCACTCTAAATGGATTCACCTGATATATAATAAAGGGTTAGTAGAATGGATGAAAAGTTGCTTCCCTCTTGTGTGAAATGTGTTGTACATTTTAAAGGATTCTGCTTTGCTTTTTATGTATTCATATAGTACTTGTATGTCGTTCGCGGTACATGCATAATGCACTGGAAATAAATGCCATGATCCGTTTTAAAACTGATCTATGGAATTTTTTGCTGTGCTTGTAAACAAGCATTTCAGGGGTACTATCAAAGAAATATCTCGACAAAAACTCCCCATTTCAAAAGGACACACAGATGCATACTGTCTCCCTGTAATACTGTAAGATTGTGAAAAATGTTTAAACTATATGGCTATGTTATGGAAGAAGGAAGAAATCCACTGAGTTCTATGATCTGTGTGGCTATCCGAAACAGTTATTGCCCTTGAGTCACATTTCTAGACCTTATTGAAGAACAAGTGATACATTGTTAACGTTTAGATCAATAAACAATTATTGTTCTTTGTGAGATGCTGAAAGGGGATTTGGAGAGTTTACAGGTAAGAGGCATAATTTACCAGTGGCTGTCAAACTAACAACTGCAATACATTCTCAATTTTTTATTTTTTGCAGACTTCAACAGGGAGCATATCAGATATTAGCTAGCTCTTTGCCTCATGGTGTGACACACACATAATGGGGCCAGCAGGCTCTGCTAGCTCTTTTCAACAGAAAGCAGGGCACCAACAGAGATTCTGAAAATTTTCATGCAAGATGCCCCAATAGCTATTATTCATCTGAAAAACTGCTTGAGCAGCTTTGCACCGATTTGAGTTTTTAAATAATTTAGTGATTGACAGGACCACATCTCTCCAAATACATAAGCAATATGATTACACAGGAGCCAGCCTTTTATAACAACTTTTAAAAACCAAGTAATTAATGCTCCCATCTGAAAGTCTGAAAAGTATTAAATGCTCAGAGTTTCTTTTCTCCTCTCACTCCCCATACAATATATCCACTCCCCTCACACACACATGCCACACATTTCAGCCCTTTACTCTTGGCCCCTGGTATTGATACCTGTAAGGAAATCTCCTGGAGTGGGAAGTTTCAGCCATCTCTAACAACAAGCTTCTTCACCAGCAGGGCTTGCTAACACAAGTGTAAGGTCGTTCTGATTCATCTCTCCATTTTCTCATTCTCCTATTCTGCTCCCTTCCTCTTGCCTGTTATTGTGTTCATGATTCTTAGCTCAATCAACTGTAGCAAGAATGAAACAGACACATGAGAGAGGTAGGAACTATAAAAGATATCATGTCTTCTTGAGCTCAGTGATAGTTTGCCAATACCTGCTAGTTACAGATACAGCACCATTATTCTAATTTGTAAAACAAAACAAACAGAAAACCTCCAAAGAATGTTATTCTAGGAGCAGAAGTGGGGGTATCTGCCTAGATAGTGGGGTATATTTTCCAAATACAGTTATTCTGACAAGATTGGCAGGTGTCACCTTTGGGTCAGGATTGGGACTAAGAAAAACTCAAATTTTTGTGTGACTTTTAGTAAAATTGTGAGAGTTGGCAGCATGGATTCAAGGAATTTTGAAAGTAAAAGAGGGTCAGATGGTGACCTCAGGTACACCACAGTAAGTCTAGGGTAATTACACCAAAGCACATTTTATTCCATGATAAGACAACAGCACTTATTGTCATACCTTCTGGGGACAAAAAGCACAGCATTTAGTATTAACAGTTAAGCTTTGAACCTGTGGTACATTTCTCTTCTCTAGTTATCAACTAGGAATTTCAGAGGGGCAGCCGAGTTAGTCTGTAACAGGAAAAACTTAAAAAACAACAAATAGTCTGGTAGCATTTTAAAGACTAACAAAACATGTGGATGGTATCATGAGCTTTTGTGGCCACAGCCCACTTCTTCAGATGACCGGAGTATTGGAGTGTTTCAACACTCCGGTCATCTGAAGATGTGGGCTTTGCCCACGAAAGCTCATGATACCATCTACATGTTTTGTTAAACTAGGAATTAGTTACGCTCCTCTCCTTCCTCCCAATCTTCAGTTTAGTATTAGTAAAGGAGTAGAGCTTACCACCTTATAGCCAGGGCACCTCTATTAACCTTCCACTGCTAATTTGGTGAAGGGAGAGGTCCTTTTAAGCACTACTACTGGCTCCAGTCTTCACATCCTTTTGCAACAAGACACAAATCTAATGCCAGACTTGACCTCCTTTCCATCAAAGATTGATTTTCAGCATCTTCTCCTAAGGTTACTAGTTAACAGGGAGCAGAGGCTGTTGACAGTCATTCTCTTGCTACCTTCTCATCTCTTTCCACGGTGCTGACACTAAGAGGCCTCTTTACTACATTCCCTTTCCTTGTGTGTAGGTGTCTTTTCACCTCATAGGTGCTGGAGACACTCATTTACTACTGCTACAACCCATTTTAGTTGATCTGTCACCTTCCCCAAATGCTGGGTCTTATCAGCCTTCCGTCTCCATCTGTCTGTTGAGCCAGGTGGATGTATTGCAGCAATGGACTTTCATGGCATACTCCCACACTGAAGGCAAGGAAAAGACAAGATTGTCCGTGCAACCCCCAAAACTATACCAGGTATTCAAGGCCTGCAGCTCAGTTGCCACGTACTATCACTGAATCAATTGGGCTCCCTAATTAGGAACTGAGCAGGGCAAAATTTAAGCTTAATTTAGGCCATGGGGAGGCAGGTACTGAGAAAGCAGCTGACACCAGTTTAAAGAAACTGCACTCATGAAAAGGAATTGTCTTTGGATTTGAGAATCTATATACAAAAGCTTTGATCTCCTAGACACTGATGTGTTACATGTTTTTGTATTATTGATGCACCTCAATGTCTCTTTTTATCTTGTTATAACAGGCGTAGGAATATTTACTTTTTAAATGGTCAACTGCATACACATTGATCTACTTATTGCTGACACACTCATCGTCCAGTGCCTAGGCACCAATACATTTGGTAGATTTCTGCAAAACAGTAATACAGCATGGACACTTCTGAGATAGTCCTGAAATGTGAGCAACAAAAAGCACCTTTGCAATGAGCATGTGAGCACTTTGACCTAGGTTCTGCCATGCTTGGTCTCCTTGCAAAGTACCTTACTGCACTGGTAGTTCCATTTCAGGACTACTAATGGAGCCCTACTCAAAATGAATAATCGGGTCATTTGTAATGGTCCAGAGGCTTTTGATGTACGTTAGACTTACTTTTGAATGAAAGAGCTGTGCCTTTCTATGTGCTGTGTGTAAAAAGAAGCACACTTTTGGTGCATGAATTTTAAATTAGTAATACATCTTATAAATATTTTCAAAAGTTTGTTTGTCCTGAAAGCTCTCTGAAACAGTAAGAGGTAGAAACCCCAATTGTTGAACGGATACTACTGATTTCCTAACTTAAATAACTGTATTGGTTATATCTTGAAATTGGTTCCCCTGATTCCCCCAGAGACCCAATTGGGCCCACTGATAATTAGCTTTTAGTATCGCCTGATCATAGAAGCACAAATTTTTGCACAGATACTACTGATTTCCTAACTTAAATAACTGGATTGGTTATATCTCAAAATTAGTTCCCCCAGAGCCCCAATTGGGCCACTAATAAGCTTTTAGTAGCGCCTGAGCATAGGCATTTGCTGGACTCTTCTGTTAAGAGTGTCACAAACTGCAACTACAAGAGCCTTTCCTATTATAACTGAAAAAGTACTAGCTATGTTAATTTCTTAAAGTAAAATATAAGAGAAAGGTATTTCCAATAAAATATACTATGTTAATGTAATTGACGTAGTTCATTCATCACACCTTTTACTATATTTTCCCTGGGCAATGCCGGATATTTCTGCTAGTATATAGTAAAACATTATTATTTAAAGCATGTACAAGTGTGAAATTCAGCTTCAGTTGATTTCAAAAGTTGTTTACAAACTTATGATTTTGCTTTACCTTTGAATTCTAGGGCCTGATTCTCTACTTCCTGGTACTTTGAGCCAGTTACATCTATGCAAAAGTGAGCGCAAAATGGGCATAATACTTTTGAATGGTAGTAATTACAGGCAGTCCCCGACTTACACGGATCCGCAGTTACGAACGGGGCTGCCCTGGAGTACACGGACTGCGGGACCTCGTGGTCCCGCTGCCCGTGTACTCCGGGCGAGAAAAGCTGCTGCTCCGCGTCTCCCTGGTCTGCAGACCAGGAAGACACGGAGCAAAGCCGTGGAGGGGCTGCGGCTGAATCTGGACGCCAGTTCCGACTTGCATACAGATTCAACTTAAGAACAAACCTACAGTCCCTATCTTGTACATAACCCGGGGACTGCCTGTAATTCTAAAATGTGAAAGACACTGATAGCATTTGTGTTCCCTTTTAAAGCACTCACCTGAAAGAGGGGATTTAAATTCACATCCTCTACCTCCCAGGTGAGTGCTTTATTTGCCAGGCTATAAATCACTCTCATTCACCTTCTCTCTCCTTGGTCTCATGTTACTGTGTTTATGTAAAGTGGAACATCTTCAAAGGAGAGATTCAGAGCCAAATGGGGTGGGGAGTTGGGTTCAAGTCCTTGCTCTGGTGTGGAGATTCAACCATGGGGGGTCTCACATCTAATCACTGGACTAAGGTTACAAGGGTGTGTGTGTGTGTGTGTGTGTGTGTGTGTGTGTCCAGGCAGAGTTGCTCTGCCCCGGGCTTCCTGGAATCAGCTGCTGATCAGTTTCAGCAGCAGCTGACTTGGGGACACCTGGGGTTCTTAAGTTGATTCTGTATGTAAGTCAGAACTGGCGGTCAGTTGCTGAATTTGGACGCCAGTTCCGACTTACATACAGATTCAACTTAAGAACAAACCTACAGTCCCTATCTTGTACATAACCCGGGGACTGCCTGTATGCCTGGGTAGGGTAAAACATGGACGTAAAAGACTACTACTCATATTTCATTGTGATTGTCACTCATGTGTCTCCAAATGGTTCACAACTGTATTTGTGATTCTGGGGGAATAAATTTTTAAACAGTAGCAGCACATTTTACTGCAGTTGTAAGTTATCTATTATTTGATTTTTATTCAACAAAATAAGGCATCAAGACTTGTTTTCTTCTTTCGCTTCTCTGAATATCATTTCCACTCTGGTTAATTTCTTTTCTGTTTGTTCATATGATAAATAGAAGTAGCAATGAATGAATGAGGACGCATGTCTGACATTTTTCAGTGGATAATTCAGAGTTTCTTAAACATTTTAGGGGTGTCAAATATTACTTGACATGCTATAACAGTTTGTTTAAAAAAAGAGGAATCAGCAACTTGAACACATTTTACTAAACTGTAAAAAATATCTAACAATTCAAAAAAGTTAACTTTGCATTTTTCCTCTGAATGACTTTTTGGACATATATTCTAAAGCTTCTTTTTTTAACAAGCTTAAAAAAGCATGTCTAGGATATTATCCTTCTTTCCTGGCACACCTGTCTGCAAGTAACATTTAGCTCCTGTTTAAATAGAGTTCCTTTGGTGCCAAGCCTTTTATTTCCAGTTTTAGAAAGATGTAACTATTTCTGAAACCAAAATCCTGAATTTTAGCTTTGTTGTTGCTATGCTTCTTTGTTTAGTGTTTAAGCTCTGGAACTGTTTATAAATATATTTATAGATATATTACATGCTAAAAGCAGTGTGAACAAAATGATTTGCCTTTTTTTATAATACAGCTCAATTCCTGACTTTGGAATTTAATTCTCTCTGCCTCCCATTGAATATCAAACATGTTTAAACAAATTGATTCATACAAGGGCCTTGTCAGTGAAATCCCGATTCCATTGATTTCCCGATTACATGGAACCAGTATTTTATCCTGTGACTTAAACTACACTAGTAAACATTTCCACTGATGATGTGTAATCAAGATGTATTTTATACCTCTCACATACACACGTTAATAGAACGTAAACATACAAGCACATTTATCCGAGTATGAATTGCTCCTTAATATGCACTATTCCAAACTGAAAAAATGAGACACATTTCTCATTGGATGTTGTGTCAGATTTATTAGTCCTGAAGGAATTGTGCAGTTGTTGCATTTGGAGTCATAGTAAAACTGCTGAATCCTCCCAGGTAGTGAATATTTGACTACGAAAGCTTTTTAATTTGTCATTTACCCTTTTTCTCCTAGGATCCTAGTTTCTCCAATTTCTCTCAGAAGTGAACTTGCAC